TGAGGCCCGTAGAAAAATCCTTCCAGCTAAGCCAACCAATATACAAGAAGTACATGATGTTTTAAAATCCATGGATATTAAAACAAACGAAGGTGAACGATTTTTATTGATCAACGATAATATTAAGAATTTTATTTTATTTTCTTGTGAAAGTAACTTACGAAATTTAACATCAATTTCTCAAATTTATGTCGATGGGACATTTCGATGCTGTACTAAATATTTTTGTCAATTATTTACAGTCCATGCATTGAATAATGGTCATTATTACCCTATTGCATATTTTTTATTACCAAACAAAACATTTGAAAGTTATCAAAACGCATTTAATGGACTAATAGAACAATGTAATACATTTAATTTTAGTTTTAAGCCCGATGTAATATTCGTAGATTTTGAAACATCTATACACAAGGCGATTCGTTTAACTTGGCCATTGGCTACTATAAAAGGTTGTAGGTTCCATCTAGGTCAATCATGGTGGCGAAAAATACAATCTTTAGGGTTATGTACAGATTATAAAAACAAAGATAGTGATATAGGCAAGTTTTTAAAGTATATTTTTGGATTACCATTTTTAGAACCTGAAATGGTTGGTGAATGTTTCATAGATTTATGGCAACCATTAACGGATAAAATACAAACATTTTGTGATTATTTAGTAGACACTTATATCGATGATGATTCTGATTTTCCACCTGAAATATGGGCTACTTGTAGTTCCAGTATGTATTTGACAACGAATGCATGTGAAAGTTTCCATTCGAAATTCAATTCACTATTTTATACATCCCATCCAAGTATATTTCAATTTTTGGAAATTTTAAAGCAATGCCAAACAGATGCTAAAATAAAAATGCAATCTATAGTTTGTACTCCTCGAGAAACAAATAAACAAATAAATAAAAAAAAGTTTATACAAACCCAAATTACAAAATTAAAAAACAAGGAAATATCTAATTTTGATTTTGTAAAAATAATGAGTTTTAAAAATCTACCTATAACACTATAATCATTTATTATTTTATTGACTAAATATTGACATATATTAATTGTATTTTATATCTTTCTTATTGTAAACAATTTATTATTTTAATATTTGACTATTTATTAACTATTTATTGACATATATTAATTGATTGTACTTCATATAGATATTTTTTATTGTAATTTGTAAGCAATTTTTTATTTGACTATTAATTGTTTGTGTATTTTTTTTAATTTCTAATTGAAAACAGTTTTTGTACCATCATCTTAAATGTATATTGAAAAATCAAAATAATTACAAATTTTGCTAATAAAATCATAAATAAAAATATTACTTCCAATAGTATTTAAAATATTGACCAAATACTTCATTTTATTAATTATAAGCTATTTTGTGAACCAATGTGTGTTTGGACGCAATCGGGATACTTATATTTGGGATAAAATACGACTACCTGAATTCGGGCCGCAATCGGGCAACTCCGCACACGCCTAACACACAGCTACTTAATGAGCAAAGACGATCCTCCACTATATGACTCATGCAATGTTCTTTTAACGGTCAATCACATCATTACAGAATGTCAAAAATATAACCAGTATCGAAATCAATACCACATATCCGAACAAATTTGCCAAGCACTAGGACCAAACCCACAGGACGTAAATAACTTAATTTTATTCTTAAAAAAACCAGAATTGTACAATTTAATTTAATGTAATCATGTAAATACTAAAATAATAATAATGTAACCAAAAAATTCTTGTACTAATGGCCTAGTTGTCGATGTATATATCTGATGAATAAAAAAAAAAAATAATAATAATTAACGACAATAAGTGATAAGTGAATATTATATCAGCTGACACATTTCGTTTTTATAGAGATGATTTATTAATGCCAAAAATGAAAAAACAAACATTTATTATAATATTAATAAATGTCTATATTATTATTAGCTGCAAACATTTCTATGCTGGTAAAAAGTGCGGAAAACATAAGCTATATTATATTCGCTAGTGGGATTCCTTAATCCTTAACCATCGCACTATCGCAGCAGTATACGAACTATAGTAGTATACATATAGCACAATAACCTAAGTGTAAACTGCACCCAAAGTACAGGTAAACACAAAATCACACATGTAAACTACGCCCGGGTAAAATTTTAAAAATGAATAGCCATATTTTTGCAAAATTAAACAAAATTACAAAATTATGATAACTAAAATTACAATCTCTAATTTATTTACTTAATTCGTTACCGCCAGATAATATGAATAGTTAAAAGAATAAAATTTAAATTTTAAAAAGTACAATATTAGGACAAATAATAACATATTGTTGATACATTATATTCTGATATGATGTGATAAATTGGAGTTTGGCCACTATTATATTTATTAATTAAATTTTTTAACTTAAAGTTTTTCTGGTTTTAGAATATTGATATTTAAAGGGTTAATTTATATTATTTAGTTTAATATATGTTTTTATTTGAATTTCTTTTAAATTTTCTATTGACATGAAAATATTTGGATGCGTTGTATGAAAGTTAGAATTAATGTGAAGATGAAATGACTCGCATGCATTAGTCGTTGAAGTTAGCTCTGCTGATGCGATTGCTGTGATATAATTGAAAAAGTACACAATCATAGAGACTTTAATAAGTTATAAGTTTCATATATTTTACAAACGGGGCACAGCTTAACGTTTGGAACGTGGATAAAAAATCGGGAGCAGTTTACATTATAATTTTTAACATAGATAAAAATCCAGGCACAGTTTACACGAAAAAGGTCATTTGGGCGCAGTTTACATCACGTTATTATTCCCATATTAATAACTATCTTGTAAAAGGGGCCTAATTATCTATAAATGTACGTGGAAATCAAGTATCTAGTACTGCAACATAATATTAAAAACACTGTAGTGTGATTATAATTAAAAATATGTATTCTTTAAAACCGTAATTAGACGTTTGAATGAATTGACATAAAATAATTAAAAGTTGTTATCGGAATATACTTATGAATTATTGTTATTCGTTTCGTCGAAATTAAGAACATTTTGATGAACAAAAAAGGGAAAAATAAATTGAACAAAAAAACAGAATTAATGCACATCCAATATTTGTGAAGTATGTAAAGTATGTAAGTATTATAACTTATAAGTATTTTCATTCGTATACATTATATTATTATTACTGCAAAGTGCAAGAATGTATTTAGGTGTACAGAAGGAATTCTAATTCATAACAATATTTTTGACCTATTATAAAGACGAACATGCCTATATGTAGTACATAATATTATGTCATATTAATATATTACGGCATGTATAAGGATACAGGTTTCTCCATGTAAAAAGTGAAATCGGGCATATTTTTATACCCCAACTAGTGTTAATTTTACTTATAATATATATATATTTCAACATTATACACATATATTTTTCTTCTTTGAGTATACCGAGTGTCATTTGCATTTTGCAGAAGAATATCTATTTACATCCTATCGTCTCTTTCCATCCCCGATCCCACTAAGCTCAGTAATAAATATATATATATACATAAACATTGAATTGTATACGACGAGGCGCTTTTTGGAGACGAGTTACGCGCACGGAGAAAGGACAAAAGGGATCAGGATGCGGCCGACTAATTTTGCAAGTTTTCAACCCCGATGTTATCCCTGGGCGCTTTTCAATACGCGTGCACACACACACAACCGTAACTATATAGTATATATATTTATATATATACATACGCATATACCATATACCATATATATATATATACAAGTAAAATTGTGTGTGCAGCAGAGTCGTAGGGCCCGCTGACACCATTGTCTGAAGGTGTCCTAAGTCCAGTTGCCATGGCGACGCGCGACTGTGCGCGGCGGGACGGCAGCCAGCGTGATAATAGCAACGCCTTTCCGCATCCGTTGCCGTGGATACGCCCTTTTCCCTTTTTTTTAACGGTCATCACTGGGTTCGTTATTTTTATATTCATCATTTTCCAAGAAAGCCAACAGCGAATTTTCCGGATAAATAGTATAAATGTGTAATATATACCTATTATATATATATATATAAGGACATATAAGGTACATATAATATTATGTATTTATATATACACATGATTTTTTTTTCACGAATAAAACAGTGAATAAAAATAGTACCTATATTATTTGTTAATTTGGTCACATATCTAATACGTAGAAATACTAAGCAGCATTAGGCGAGTTACACCATCGTGCGATTTAATTATTTAAACACTGGAGTTGTACTCTTTTTTACGACTTTAACTGTTGACTCTGGAGTTTTCGACATTTTAAAATTGTTGAAGTAATTTAATAATGCAGGTTAGTAATGTAATAATACTCAAATAACCATATACACATATACTACTTGGAAAATAACAAGTTAAATATAATAGTAGTATACTTTTTACATACTGTTGCTATTACGACGACATCACAACGCGATAATGATTATTAATTGTATTGTTGTGATCTAGTCATCGATTTTCTACTTATGAATAATACAGCTATGTACCTAATTAAATGATTATATCGATGTGTTTAAATTAACGATGTATCACGACTGAACCTTTCAAAATATTTTAGTTTCTATAGGCTATTATTTATAATTTGATAAGTAGTGATTTTTTTTTAACATTTAATAGATTACAATGATTACATACAATCTTGATCATAATTTAAATTTTAAATCAATAATGAGATTATTTAGAAATAACTGAAACCAAATAAATCTGTTATTTAGCTTGATATTAAATTAAGAAATATTGATTTGTATATTAAACCATATTAATATATTTTTGAGTAATCGAGGTCAAATTTTTAGTAAATTTAAAAAAACAATGAACATAATATTATGTCATAGACTAATTAAAGTAAAAATATGATAACTGATAATTTATTAAAAAAAAAATTATACCACCACCGGCAGCAGGCACACAATTAAACAAACGTTTTAAAATTACACATACCTGCAAGTTTCTTTTCTGGAGTATTAGGTTTTTTCTGTTTCTTTTCCTTTTGGTTTTTTTGTTGCTCTTTCTGTTGCCATTCGATTAAACTCTGTTGAAATTCTTCTTCTGACAGTTTTTCTAAACGTGCTGAAAATCAAGTATCGTAATAATAACAATTATTAAACAGTACGAACCTAGTTATAAATTATATATTAATAAAACTCAAAAAAGTAATAATTTAAGATTCGATAAAATATTTAAAAATAACACTTTACCCACAAATATTTTTATAAGCAAAATATATTATATTTAATTTATATATGACTTATTTATAAGCATTTTTTTAAATAATATTGTAGAGCTGATAATTTTTTTAAATATTTTAACCTGCTTAATTGATATTTATTGAACTAAACGACATTAAATACATCATATAGTTACTTAAAAAATTTATAAATAAGATACATAAACCTACCTTTTGAAAAAATTACTAAATAATTACTACTACTTAGTATTATTATATTGCATAAGTAAAATAATGTATTGTTTAAACTATTAAATTGAATCTGAGAATAATATGTTTCATGTAAAATGGTTATGACTTCAAACTTTAATCTCATTAAGGGATGAAATTAAATTTATATTGCATTTATTTTAAGTCTGGTTTTTAAAATAACTAAGCCAATAGTTATTTTATTTCAATATAATTTCTATAAAACCCAGCTTAATGTACTTAATGCTTTTTTAAATTTTTTTTTATTGAACAACTATAGTTATAATCTATACATTAATGTTTGTACCTACAATAGGTCATTTTTTTTATAACGGTTTGAAGTGACGTAAAATTACTGAGTGGGAAGATACTCAATAGTAACACCCGACCATATGTATATGCTATATAAGCTATTATCTCAAAATTAATAATTAATTTAAAAATTACTATATATGTGTATTTTAAGGTAAAAGGTACAGTATTAAGTACACACTGTATTTGCATTTGTACATACAGCAAGAAAAAAAAAAATATTCATAAAAATGTCTAATTGTTGTCATAAAGGATCTCTAAACAACTGGTTTGGATTTTTTTTTTATGTACATAATTCCTCCACCAGGCTTTGGCTTATTATTATGTTTTAAATCTGTCCTCGGGGTTTGTATTCGATCACAAAAAAGGGATACGACGCTATATTCAATAAGAGCCAATTAAAACCGCCATTCTAGACTAGGACATTTTTTATATTGACATTCCAAGTTATAAGTGGTTTTTTTTAATATACGATGAGTTTTTTCAATACAATACGAAAGGGAGCGCCCATGAATACAACACACGCACACATACACATACACAAACACATGCACACTCATATATATATAAACCCTGCTATATATTCCAACAACTATTAGGCGGCCAATAGAATGAGAGACGTATTAATTAACCCTATGGGGAGCCTTGATGGCGAGGGCGAATTTGACAGGGGTGAGCCCTCAGTACACAAAGGAACCACTTCACAGACTGTATTCGACATTATGTCAGAGGATGTATTAAAAAAAAAGTAAATAAATTTACCCAATTAAATAAAAAAGAAAAATTAAATCCAAGTTTTAAATTAGAATGCATTTTTTGTCACTGGCTTTGAGTGGAAAATATGGTGTACTCCATTAAAATATGATGTCTGCGGAATAGTTTTTTATTATTTTTAATCAAGAAACTATTTACTTGCGTACTAGTCAGAGTTATAGTCGAAATTGAATTCAAGAACAAAAATCCAAACGTAAAAATGGCTCAATGCTTCTTCTGTCTGGAAGGGCATTTTATCCGACAAAGAAAAACGAAAAACGAACAAACAAAATTGATTCTTTTGTGTTTCAAATCACGAGCACAGACAATATATTGTAAACCTAATAATAAAGCTCATGACCGTTAGGCTTTTATTGCCCTTTTTTATTAAAGGAATTCTAAGATTTAAAATATATTTTATACTTTTTTGATAAGTTTCAGGTATATGATAATATATTATATGAACCATAGTTTATGGGCAGTTTGTTTTACTTTTCCACTACAAATTTAGAGTAGTAGAATATTTACTATATACATAATACATACATAAATTGATAATATTCTACGGCTATATTTAGCGGCGATACATACGATTAACATTGCTATAATACTTATAACTGTTTCAAACCAAAATATACAATATTGTCTTCGACATTTAGTCTTTATAGTGTATGCTATTTGACTATACTCGTGTTCACAGCATATATTATATCAATTTTTGATACAATATAATATTTCATTATTTTTATCTTTTCGATTCTATGATTGTTTCACTCCATAATTTATGGATAATATTTTTTATATTCGGAGGATTTTTAATTTGTAGTCTATGTAGGTACTATATAGTAGTAGGTACTTACATGTATATAGGTTACAACATTACATTCAACTTTGAGAGTAAATGTGAGAATTAATATTTTAAATATTATGTTTATTTACCTACGTCCATAGATTAATAATTGTGGCCCAAAAGAAAAATTTAAATAAATTAATATGTTGTTACCTACTCTAAATTATGTTGGGTACCTATAAAATATAGCCGTACACCTAACTAATAAATGAAGATGTTTTTATTAAATGTTTTTAGATACGAAGCTAAAATGTTAACACAACATATGCTAATCAATTTATATAATATTATTAAGAAAAACAATTTTTTATAAAGGAACTAATTTTGGTTATATGGTAGGTTTTTCGAGTACCTGACTCACAATAATTAAGAAAGTCACTGTAATGGATTTTTTAACTATTATTTCGATGATAAATTGCAGTATACTAAAAAGTAGTTCTTGGCAAATAGGAAGTCTCTATTTCTAATGGTAGTTAATATTATATTATCATTTATTAGTAAATATAGTAATGTATTTATGTGGTATAGGTAGAGCTCTTTTTTCCAAGAAAAACACATATAAGCTAGTATCATATGAATATCGTATGAATAGTATATTTTGAAAGTTTAGTTGTTTCTATATAGACAGTTTTAAGATAAGATATGGTGGAAAATGTCAAGTTTCTACGGTTAATAGTTTTTGAATTGCAATAAAATAACTAACAGCGTTTGAGGAAAAATCATTATCTATAATTTAAATCCAATCCATCCTATCCGATTGCGTCAAAATTTAAACTTTTATATTTAACTTTAAAAGAAAACTCGTGACTTTAAATGTTCTATATTTTTTAGTTTCTGTAGAAACATTAATAAGGAACCATGTAGTTAATTAAAATCTTACAACTAAACATCATATCGTATATACTTAATTACTGTACCTAGTGTTAAGTATGGAGTGTAATTTTCCACGACATACATCTATTGATTATAAATAGTAAAATAGACTATTATTAAAATAATTATTTAAAAAAAATTGAGTTGAAAGCTACGAAAATTCAATCAGCTGTCTGAAAGGTGCAATCAGTTCAAACAAAATTCCCGATACACGATTTAAAATATTTGTAAGTATTCGACAAAAATATATTCTTAACTTCAGTAGTCTTTTAAATCAACTTCTCACAACTGTTATAAATTAACTTATCATAAAAAATGGCAAAGGACAAGCAAATATCTTAAGAGGAAGGAAGTACCTATTAACCATTCTACTATAGATACAGTATAGGCGTTAAGTATGTGCATTCATAACTTGAATTCAATGATAATTTATATCATATTTTATTATTGTAATTACATTTTGCGTTCATACCGATTGACAATGAAAAGATTCGTGGTTTAAATAGACGATAGTACAAAATCAATCTAAATGTTTTGAAAATGACATCAAATATAATAATGAAATATAATAATATACGTAAAAGTTTCCACGAATAATATTTTTGAATAACAACAAGATAACTAAAATAGTGATTCTTCGTTTGAATAACTAATTTTGTCTAAATTTGAATGTAAAATGTCTGTATAAAAATTGTGTTTCTATTTTTATGTTTTTTTAAAGGATCCTTGTATTAAATGTTCTATCCTTAACTATACAAATTGAACTCATTACACATTTTTAACTACAAATACTAGAAGAAAAAGTCCTGCTAATGGATTTTTAATATTTTTTAAATAACTGTAAAAACAACTTATGATTTATGAAGAACCTTGAACTAAATTTTCAAACTTTTTGACAGAGAGAATATTGTTTTATCGATATTCAAAAAAAATACTAAAAAATGTCAAATGTCTATAAAACGAGTCAAAAATGTTGAAAATTATTCCGTGGAACAATGTATAATGGTAACATAAACATTTGGTAAAGATATAATGTAGCTACAGTTATTTGTTTCTGAATTAATACAAAATAAGATAATCAGTTTTCTCCAAAAGCTAGTTAAACGTAAAATTCTCCGTTTTTCGTTATTTAATTATTTTTTTGTTTATTCCGATTATTTTGAAAAGTACAGAGAATCTTTAATTATGACCTCGTAAAAGTACCAACTAGTTTCACTTTCCTACCAGAAAAGATATTGATTTTTTTCTACTAAAAATCGTGTACACACTAAATGCTAAATAAAGAAACTCACATAATTGTAAAATCAATACATTTATCATTCCATATAAATAATCAAAGTTGATTTACAATACTATCATACAGCGTTTAATTGATGGATTTATAATATCAACAATTTTTTTAATAATTTAACAACAAATAGTAAACATTTTGTTTTAATTGTTATACACTTGAATAAAATATATGTAGAACCAAATAAACGAATTTGCAAAAATGCAAAATTTCAACAACCTCACCAAAATATCCAGTCATACTAATGAATAAACAAAAAATAATAAATATCAACAATTTTCGCAATTTGTTAGTAACTACATACTAACTTTAACTATATGGGAGTATCAAAACATTCCATTTAAAAATATGCTAAATAAGTAGGTGGAACATGAAACTTTTGGAGTGCCTGAATATTTAATTTACTCGAAAACGTGGTCACGTTATACCTATACAACGAACAGACATTAAAATATATTTAAGCAAAAACCTACACACATTTCTATCAGCTCAAAACCTAAAACAACTTTTTCTCGTAAACTTTTTACAATATAAATACATACAATTGCTATTCGGTTAAACAGGATTTGATGAAA